ACGCCCAAGGCCTCCCCCTCTAATGAGGCCAGGAGATACGCCATCTTCTGGCTTGGTGTTAAATCCCTCCGGGCATCCACTAGGCTGTCAAAAAGTCCCACAAACGTTAACCACTCGGAGAGGACCCCGGAGAACCTTGGCAGGTCCAGAGTGGGAAGTCGTCCCAACAGCTCCGGGTGAGTGGGCTGCTTCCGAGGGGACTCGAGCAGGACACCCAGCCGAGCTTCACGCGCGTCACTAGCCTGCTTGGCCCCTGCCTCAATCAGGTCATCCGTGAGAGCAAAAAATTGCTCATAGTCGGAAAGACAGGAGTCTAGGACTCCCTGTTCCGCTCCCGAAGCCATAATCTCGGAGCATGCCTCCTCCACTACGGCCCTTCGGGCCATGACTTGCTCGAGCCGCTTCTCCAAGCTATGGATTCTATCTGGTCTCCCTATCAAGCTGTGAGCATTCGCAGCCCAGCGCAGTTCCGCTTGTAAGCGAAGCGTCGGTGACCGGTGTGAAGGCATCATTACAAGGTACGATTATCACCGTACAAATTACTTTAATTTAAATTTAGTACAAATTACTTTACACAATTAGTTTAATTATCACAATAAAAATAATACAATACAAAATACTATTTATCCAATCAGTAAATTATACTACGCAATTAATTTAATTAGTACAATTACGGTTCGTCCTCACGATTATTATAACGAGAGTACAATAATTCCTTACCACCACGGCTTACGGGCGTGGCTCAATTCTAACACTTAACAAAGTAAGCGACCAGATAAAGTAAATAAAAAAACTCAAAAGATACGGTTACTACACGGTTCTATACACCGATCCTATGTTAACAAATAACAAGCGAATAAAACAAATTATTATTACGTATTGCAACAAACACAACCAGCAGCCACGTGGTTACAACCGCTATCTTGCTACCAACTTACGTATTGCGCTGGGAGACTACGCTACTCCTACCAAAATGTTACGTATTGAGCTGGGAGTGGTTTCAAAACCCATCAGGAAAACCACGCACTGCTACCAAATATTACGGCCTCTAGTTACCCGGGCAAGGTCGTGGGACCCGGGCCCATCAGGGGTTCCACTCGACGAGTAACAGGAGGTCGGCCTAAATGGCTTGTGGAATATTACACGTTAGCGGTAAAAAGGGAACCAAACAAAACTTACCTATTTCTTCGAAGTAGGGTCAACCCTAGGAAGATTCAGGTGTAAGTGTGGGCGTGCTTGACTGTGTTGTGTTGTGATTGTGTTAAATTATGGAACCTGACTTCCCGCTGGTTGCAGAACCGCCGATCCCAAGGCTTCACCTTTATTCTTTATATCGAAGTGGCAGTCCGTCACAAAAATTTAGGAATCTAGGAAATTACACTCGTTTCTCACTAGTTATTTGGAGTCAAGTCAATTGTCATTAGGTTAATCCAATAAAATCCAACAAGATTTAACCGAACTCGCGTTACAACAAACTCGACATTTGTGAAAATTGCAATATCACCGGGCCGCGTTGCAAACAACTCAGGTTCGCGAAGTATAGGCGTCAGAGGCAGCGAGCGACTAAACTATTAACACGACGCGCAACTACTCAGTTCCACGCTCTGCGGCAAGTGTTCGCAAAACCGCCGACGCCGGCGCGGCCGGACGCCGCACCAGCCCGCACCCCCCCGCGCCTCAGCCGTCAGGCTCGCCTCCCGCTCGACCCGAGCGCCGAAGCAGGCCGCCAAATGTTAAATTAGGCCTAAACACGGAGTGTAGTTAGGTTAGGTTACCTACGCGTCACGTATTCGTATTTAGTATTTGTATTTGCATTCGTATTGTAGATTAAATTGCCGAAGGGTAGGTCGCCTTAGCGTGGCGTCTTTGTTGACCGACTGTAGTGAGTACTTGCGGTGTAGTAATTATGTTTAATTTAATTAATAGTAATTGAATTAATTAAATTAATTGTGTAGTGTAATTTGTATTTAATTTGATAAATAGTAATTTGTATTTGTAGTAATTTGTATTGAATTTAATTTGGTAGCATTTGTATCCAGTAATGATGCCATCGCACAAGTCACCGGCGCTTCGCTTGCAAGCGGAGCTGCACTGGGCTGCGAACGCCCACACTTTGATAGGGCGACCAGATCGGGTCCATAGTTTAGAGAAGCGGCTCCAGCAGTTCATGGCCCGAAGGGCCGTAGTGGAGGAGGCTTGCACTGAGCTTTTGGCCTCGGGAGCGGAACAGGGAGTCTTAAACACCTGCCTCGCGGACTACGAGCAATTTTTTTCGCTTGCGGACGACTTGCTCGAGGCGGGGGCCAAGTATGCGAGTGACGCGCGTGAAGCTCGGCTGAGTGGCCTGCTCGAGTCCCTTCGGAAGCAGCCTACTCAGCCGGAGCTGTTGGGACGACTCCCAACTCTGGACCTGCCAAGGTTCTCCGGGGTCCTCTCCGACTGGGTGACCTTTGTTGGACTATTTGATAGCCTAGTGGACGCCCGGAGGGATTTGACACCAAGCCAGAAGATGGCTTACCTCCTGGCCTCACTGGAGGGGGAAGCCCTAGGCGTCGTCGGCCATCTGAAATTGTCGGACGACGCCTACCAGACCGCTCGAGACCTTCTCGCCGGAAAGTACGCGAACGTACGGCGAATTGCGGACGAATACGTCAAGCAGCTGTTAAACCTCCCGCTGCTTAGAGACCGGGGCAGACTACGTCCGGACATCGTAAATCCAGTCTTGGTGGCCTGCAATTCTTTGAGGCCGCTGGATTTACCGGTGGACGAATGGTTCTTTTTGTTGCTCCACATTGTGCTGTCCCGCCTGCCTCTCGATCTTCGGCTCCATTTTGAGGAGAGGTACCGCGGAGACAGCGCCTCCTATATTCCGCCCTTCAGGGATCTGCTGCGGTTTTTGGAGGAGCAGTGCCGGCAGATTGAAAACGCAGCGAGCACCGTCAACGACCTACAGACTGCCAACCGAGCCGTGCCCAGGGAGAGGCGGAATCCCCCGGGCAAGTCGTCGTCAACACCTCTCAGACCGAGCGGAGCTCCCGCGGGAGGGCGTCGCCCCCTACCTTCTTATAGTGGCCTAGAGGCCAGGGAGGTGCCTCCATGCTCCTATTGTCGAGCATCCGATCACCGGGTGACGTCGTGCCTTAAATTACTGGGTAAGCCGGTCCCAGCGAGACGAACCATCGCCAAGGAGCGCCGCTGGTGCTACTCGTGTTTGGAAAGGCATCTCCAACGAGACTGCCCACACCAGCGGCACTGTCCGCACTGCCAGGGCAATCACCATGCCGTTTTGTGCCTGGGTGCGAACGGCGCTTCCCTCTCGGGGCTCTGGCGGGCTCTCAACCCCCACGGGCGGGGGCGCTCATCCACGACCTCTGTCAGGCGATGCTCGTCGCTCCCCTGGTTTTTAAGAGGGTCCCTCCCCCGACCAGTCGGGGGGTCGTGCCCCCAGGGACGGAGGGTTCGTCACCCCCCCTCAACCTGTGGAGAGGAACTTCACAGCCACTCAGCGGTCAGCTAGACCCTTCTCGCCCCCGTTGGCTGAGGCCGCGACTGGAGTACCACCCTCCCACCTTCGGTCGGTACCGGTACAACGTGGTTCCTGCGACCTCGAATCTGTCCCGGGCCTCAAGGCCGAGGTTCCCCGAAGCTCCCCAGGTCGGCCCGTTCGGTGATTTCCACACACGGGTCAGTGAGATGCCGCCGGAATGCCGTTTTCCGGCCCCCGGCTTGAGTGCCGGTCCGATGAAGGCAGCTCCAGCTAGGAAGCTTCCGCCCTAGCTCCCACCACGGTCGCCTTCACTGATCCTTTGAGCCGTCAACAGTCCACTTGTCAAACTGTTCTATTGCCGACGGCCACAGTGAAGGTGTAGAACCCGAGTGGCGACTGTTTAACCGTTCGCGCTCTATTGGATTCGGGTTCACAACGCTGTGTCGCCTCCACTTGGTTGGTGGGAAGACTAGGGCTCCCTTGGAGCTCTGAATCTCGTCCAATGGTAGGTATCGGAGGCGCCGAGCCTCCTGCTCCTAGGGGACAAGCGAAGTTGGTGTTGGGTCCTGCCAGCGAACACCTTCATATTTCAGTTAAAGTAAATGTCCTCGATGACATTGTAAGTTTTCTCCCTAACGTCCGTACAAATGATAGCGCGGTTCGTTGTGCGTCGGGCTTGAGACCGGCAGACCCTTAATGGTCCCAACCTGGGCCTATAGGTTTGTTGCTGGGGGCCGACGTGCTGGGGTTCATCCTGTTAGGAGAGATACTACTGATTGTATTGATGACGTCAGGCTACACTATACACTTTCCTACACTACACACCCACTACCATTTACTTGCCCCTGACGCCACCTTGTGCTAGACCCTACACTTCTGGAATTCGGTAAGTTTTGTGTTTGCGTATCTAACCGTTATAATTTAATTATCCATAGGTATATATTAATATATATTAAATCATTTTATTTTTTTCTTCACAAAGGTATATAATTCTTTCTTAAATATTTATTTCACATTATTTCTTAAATAATACAATTGTAGATAATTTTAGGTCATTGGAGGGATAAATAGGTCATTGGACCCTCCCCTCTGTTACTCATCGAGTTGGACTACTGATGGGCCCTAGTTCAATCGACTTTTGTCAGGGTAACTCAGGGCCGTAACACTGATATAAAAGAAGAATAAAAAGTGTATGTACTATATTCTTCATTGTAAAGTAAGAAAATACAGCTTATACGTTCCACTATTGGGAACAAGCCTGTTCTCACTTCTGAGTTGGTAAGTTAGGGTCGTCCTTGAGTTAGATTAAAATCAGGATTCGCATCAGGTAAGAAATTGCAACTTATTTTTGTTTTGTTTATATGTATAAAATATAAAATTTGATTTTTAACGAAATACGCTTAATTTAAAATCATTACCAACACAAACAAGTCTTTATCGAACACATTCAATAAGAACTTTAAATATTCTTGGTCCTTCGAGCCGGATTTCGAATAAAGTTCTAGATACATACCCGCATTCAAGTGCATCTAAATTTCTGGTGGTGGCCGCTCCTTGACCTCCTGCCGCCATATTAGAGTTCATAGATTCTGTTCTAGACCCCATGTTGCGCTGCCGACATAAGTATGGTGTGACTGACGGAGAAGGTGTCGTGCGCTCCTGCAATATTTATAAATATCTATGGAATATTTGTTGCAAAGTACAAAAAATATATGAAAATGTAACCAACAAGGAATTTATAAAAACAATGATTTATATGCAAATAACTAAGATTAGATTTATTAAAAGATAATTTCTGATTATATTTCTAAGCTATCAATACTAATTAGGTTATTATTATTACCTAACGCGACTATTCCAAAGAAGCTATAACAAAAAATGCTAATTGTACCTACATCACAACTACTTATTAAATTTATAAATGTGTGCGTAAATATATTTATATTTTATGTTCAAAATCTAACTTAGTCTAAAATATTAACAAAAATGAAATCAAACTTTTTAAGAAAAACTTTCACTCTATACACTTTTATGAAAGCTATTTTTTTCAATTACTAATTAATTGTAGAAGTATTTAATACTATTACAACTTATTAACTATTGATAAAATATGTATACAGATTTAAGACAATAATTTTTTTTTAACAATTTAGAGTTTTATAACTTATATCAATAAACAACCTACAATATCCTGCAAAAAACTGCGTTTCAGTCTAAAGCTCCGAAAGCATTAACTCGATGTTCACAGCGCATCTAACCAACCAATACAAGCTTTGCGTACCTGACGAACAAACTACACAAAAACCAATTGTATCAGCTGCCTCTCTTTCTTACTAAGTGTATTATAGCATTATAAAAGAGAGGAAGCCAATATCGTGTAATATTTTTGTTAGTACTTTTTGGGAGATGATGTACATGATTTTTTAAAGCAATTTTTGCAAAACACTGTTTTAAAAGACCAGTGCAATTTAAATTGATACTGTTTAAAGTTCATAATTTACACTTCTGAAAGGGTTCTGAGTTCCGCAGCGCTGTCTCAATGCGTGTTGGCGGACTTAAAATGTCTTCTAAACAAATTTTTTTATTTGTCAGACGTGCAGGTTTTCCCACAATGTTTTCCTTTACCACCCTCTCAGAAGTAAGAGGAGGCCTATGCCCAGCAGTGGAACGCAAATATATACGCTATAACTTTCTCTTTAACTTTTAAAGGTCATAAATCATAATATAGTTTTTTAACAAAGACTTTAATAAGACGACACGTGCTGGTTGGCAATTAATAATTCGTGGGTAATTTCGTAAAGCCTGATGTAGTGAAATCGCGATTGTTAACTTAGCGCTACTCACTAACAGACTATTATGTGTTGTGTTTGTCGTTCACTTGCAAATAAAACAATGAATTATTTATCATATCAATGCTGGAACATGCGCCTGATGAATTTCGATATGTGAAGATCACAGCGATATCGAAATTAATATATATTATATGCTTGGCATTTTTATTTGCATCTTTAAATAAGTCCAGAATAACTGTCGTGCGGTGGCCGCTGACACAAACGAGATGAAATGAGGTGATGGATTCTGGATCGGAAAACTGAATGAACATCGGTCAAGTAACCGTTTACGTACAAATAATGCCCATGCCTACAAGTTTGTATGTTGAAATACCGCTACTTAATTACATGAAAATTTACTACGTACAAACTCAATATCAAATCAAATACGAAATACAAAACACGCCACAAGTTATACCTGTTTGCCAAGGCGACAAATATTTTTCACATGCCATTTCCACAACAATTCAAGGTCACCATCGTTTTACGGGATATAAATTTTAAATTGCAAAAAATTCTTGCCGCATTTCCATTTGCAGCTTTTTTTACATAAATATAACCAGGACAGGTTATATTTATGTAACTTAACTGAAAATCCACATAAATTTAACAATTTATAAGATAATAAATTTTACTATTATTTTCATAGCTTTAAATATATTATTTTCTTTCAACTTTTCAACATTCTTTCAACGCGATATATAATACTTCAACTTTAACTTCAAAGAACATACAGAGGAAGCTAGACACAGCTTTGGTTAATTATGAAAGTTTATTTTGAATAAAATGAGTTTGGAAGGATTTTTAAATATTTATTGGTGTGCTATTTAAAAAGCTGGTTAAATATAATTTAAATAAAAAACCAAACTGTGAGTACACATGTAATATTTATACAGTTGCAAAATATATAAAAACACCTATCTAAATTAAAACAAATATCACATTTACAAATCTATTCCAATAATATTAACACTGATTTTCGATATTCTTCATAGCCCACTGGTGAAGCGTCCGACATTCCAGGGTCAACTGTCGTTATCCTTGAAAAATATTACCGTACGTTTATCGTTTCTAAACTGAAAAACTGCAATTAAAATAAAAAGTCTCCTGAGAAATAACTAAAACAAAGATATATCTTCGTTAATATTTGGTTGTATGTTACGCATAAAATAGACCAAACTATCACCGTTATTAATTTATGAACTTGGACAAAATCTTTTTCCAAAGATTTGCAGTAATGTCCACGCCATTTAAAAATGAGGTGGAATATTTGACAGATTTAATAGCGGAGAGGTTAATTTTTCAAAAAAAATGTAAAGGTTAATGTTTCTTTTTGTACTAGTTATATTTTATAATTATATTAAAAATAGGCTGTAACTTTACTTTACTTTATATTAAAAATAAATAAACCGAACCACAGATATTCATAAAAATTGAAGAAAAAAAAAGAGTTAAAAATTTGCAAAAAATTTAAAAGCAAATCACTAACGCATTGTTTTGTATATTAGTATACTACCCTAGAAACTAATAAACTTTTATTTAAAACTAACTTTTCAATCAAATGACATGACTTAACTAAAAACTTCACCTCAGTGTCAACCCGCGACATCTGGTGAGCTCGCGCTCGAGATTAGCCCTCATTGATTATCTTTTTGTAAAAATCTTAGCACCACACTTTGCCTTCTCTTGGATTGTGCAAGTGTTATAGGTATATACATTAATCATCAAACATCCAGAGACCCGGAACAACTATTTGTAGGCCCAACACTTGTTACAAACGGGATTCGAACCCGCGACTCTGCAGAGCCGCAGCCCAATGCCTACCCATTGCTCTATCAAGCCGTCATTGTGGACTGTTGAACACAGTGTCAGACAGCTTGCGCTCTAATCCGCCATTCGCTCTCCACTAACGCACTCGCATATTAATTTCCGCAAAACCAGCATTTTAAATAAGATTTTTCTATTAATTTTTTGTGTTGTTTAAATTTTCACGAAATAGCGGCTTGCCAAATTACTTACTAAAACAACTGTATTCAACATCCACCCATTACAGCCCTTCACAAGTCTACATTGGCCTCCGTTAAGGAATGTCACATAACACGGTCCTAAGCTACGTGCATCCATTAACTTTCTGCATTTCTTACCAGCTCGGCTAACTATGCTTAAACCATATCTAGTATATAGTACAGCTTATTTGGGACAATCGGTTTTTGTAAGTTACGATTAAGGCCGTCCATAAAACTTACTGATTTTTCTTTGAAATTTTTGAACTAATAGGTATCTTGTGCACTATAGCTAGGTTTCTATCAAAACAAAGAATCAAAATTTGGAGAAACAAATTCAGTATAAGCCTCCAAAAATCCGCTTTTTTGCACAAAATTACCTGAATTTTGGCCGTTCATAATGTACTCATAAATAGTAAAACCAATGAAAATATTTTGATAGAAACCTCGCAAATGTAATCGAGTTTCTAAATGACAAACATTTATTTCACAAACTTGTTAGGCTTACTGAAAAACACGTATTTCCTGGAACCAATTTTATGAAATTTCCGCAAACTATTTTTCGTTCAATGTTATCGCGTTCTCACTTGCTTGTTAGTTAAGTGGCGGTGAGGTATGCGAGGGACGAGTCGTACGGGGTCGGGGCGGGCTGAGGCGGGGGAGTTGAATCACGCTCGGCTCTCGGGCCTCTCGGAGTTGTTAGCAGGTATAGAATTTGTTGACTGCGCGTACGCGAATGTGCTGTTGTATTTTAATTTTAGTGAATTCTGTTTTACCTACTACGACGGTCTTGTTTTTTATCACGTTTCCCACGCAAACTGCCAATGAGAGAAAGAGTCGATGATTGACTGTATTAGATGATAATAATTATTTTTTTTCTAAATTTTCAATCACTTCTGACAGTTTAAAAACTGTTTGTGTTCGGAAAACGGAATCTTCTCGACAACGGGGTTCTTTTATGTATTGTAGTCATTTACATACCGTACGTACATGTTAAATAATTAGGTACGTTACCTAATTTCCGCATCCTCTAATACAATACTAATACAGACAAACTGGATAGATAAAGAATTTATTCTGCTCCTACTATTAGTCAGAATAAATCATTTACCTTTACTTTTTTGTGCTGTATTTTACGTATATGATGGACGAACAAAAATAGTCGAACGGAATTCCCTGCTAAAACAAAACTGAGTCTGGTCTATGTGTGAGTATTGACGTGTGCGCGTGTAATGGCTGACTAATGTGTGAATGTGTCCGGGCTTGTACGCACGACGACCATTTTTAATAACCAGTTTATAGGGATCTCTCATTGTACGGGAAATTGATACAAAGCGAGACCATCGTATACTGGAAATGTCTAGCTTTATGTGTTTACAGTTTTTTACTAGCGAAAATCTGTCTGACTTTCTTTGTTCGTCCATGAGGTACTTGTGTATATGAAATAAGAAAAAGCTAATGTATGTTATAAATAATTTCCATATCGTCAAAAATAACGCACGCACGGTAGGTACATAGATTGGTATAAATACAACACAAATAAATCTCCGAGGCCAAGCGTTACGTCCGTACTAGACAAAGCATGTAATATAATAAAGTAATACGGTACTAAATGTAGGTATACACACCTATCCTGTATGCAGAGTAATTTACAAAACTATCGCTGTGCGCACGCGAGGACATAGTTGCGAGACGCGCGCGTGCGATTCAATATTATTGTTATTGTCATGAATGGCTCACTAGCGGTCTACCGCCCGCGAGTGTGCGGCAAAAGTTACCGAATGCTAACCGAGCACTCAGGCGCTCTCTCTTTTCGCTTTGCCTCTTTTTCTAACATTGCGCTGGATGAAACAACAAGCTTTTCAATCATACTCGCGTTGAAGATAGGCGGGCCGGGAAGGACCCTCTTAATGCTTTCAATTTCAATAACTTGTCAATAGAATAATCGTTCCAGATGTTACTAGTGAATTTACGCGTATATTCATAAATTGGTAGAAACACTCGCGTTAAATACTTGATTATTTATTTAAAGTAATACAGAAATATAGAGAGAATTAAACGTAAAATTAAACTGTTTTATTCTTTGAATACCATCTCAATCGATAAGTAAGTAGCAAGAATGGTCATAATGATAGTACAAACAAGGTGTTTGCGTCTCGTGTGCTGTGAATTATTTTGGTAATTTTATAAATGAGCAAATTTTTTTAGCATTGTGTGTTCAATGAACAGGTCTTGGACTGTAAGTACTTAAGAAACTTTATAAAGTTGACTAGTTGGAAAATTAAAGGGAAGGAAGTTACTTACTTTTAAGATTAACTTTTGTGCCCCTACCCAACAGGTTATATAATATGTTGTTAGGTTCTGACGTTAGAACCTGGTTCACAACAGAGACCTTTAAATATAAGTTAATTTGCGTATCCTATTGGTAAGTGTATGTAAATGCTTATGAAAAGTTAAGTTAGAATCCAACAGAATACCAAGGTATTTATTGAATTTTTTGCAGAGGTGTGCATGAACACCTTACGAAAGGACAAAGGAGAACTGCTAAACAAATTTTTCTTGACATTTTGTTCTTGCGTCCAGAAATGAAAAATATGTAAAAATATAGTTTGAAATCCTGAACATTTTTTTCTTTAGTCACGTTACTACAGGAAGTCAGGAATTGAAGATATTCCAGTTTGGACAAAATTTACATCAGACTAGGCTGTATACCTTTGCCTGCCTTAATTGGAAAATCGTTACAACAACACTATACAATATAATTTTTAATTATGCTTATATAGAGTAATTACTAGCACCGAGGAAATCCTAAAATATATTGAGAAGAGTTTTGTGAATAAAATACTCATCAGACTAGGTTGTATGGTATAAGAACTTTGCCTGCCTTAATTAGCGAATCATAACAACTACAACAACTAGTCAATTTAGTTTTAAATCATGTATGATGATTTTTTTTTCAGTCTTCGATAGGCCATAAGCTTGATTAGATAGTATGTAGTAAATTATTTTATTGATATCTGTAATAATGACATAAGTAGACGCTTGATAATTCCATCAACAATTTGCCACAACAACTAGTCAATTTAGTTTGAAATTAGGTATAATGATTTTTACCAGACTTCGATAGGCTTAACCATAAGCTTAACCCTTCAACCTCCATAAAAATCCAATACAGTTGCATGCGTTCGGCTCAACCCGAGCGGTCGCACGCGACCTCACCCACCCAAAGCACTTTAAACCTTTAAAACTTATATTTAGAGACTACTTTTCTAAGTTTGGCATTATAAAATCTATACAAAATTCTCTATCCTGTGGTCTAAACAAAAGTTAGGTTTTACTTCATTACAAAAAGATTTTATTGTATTTTGATAACAAAAAACAAACTTACCAAGCGGATGTCGGTAGCGTGAAAATCACAATTAAATATATATATATATATATATATATATATATATTACTCGAATTTGTTTACGTAAAAAGTTATTCACACAAAAACTTTCATTACAATTTTATAATATAACACTATACTAAAATACTAACAAAACACTAGAAAAAAAAATCAATACAATAATATTCACACGAAAATGGCGTACGAAATGAACGTAGACTATAAATAAATATCCATAAACTAATTTTTATTCCACTAGAGGATAGAAAATTTCATATTGATTCTATAATGCCAAACTTTTTATAGAAAAGTAGTCTCTTAACGTAAGAATTGAGGTGTTAAAGTGCTGTGATGATGGGTAAAAATACTTAATAGTTCAAAAGAAAGAGAACAACAAAGAGCATCAGAACGCAGAACAAAAAAAAAGAGAAAGTACAAAAAAAGATCTGTCACGTCAAATTTACAAAAAGATGGCGTTACCTTTCATATATAAACAGTCTTTAATCACATTATTGTTATTTAACACTTTTTAAACTTAAAAATTACAATAATAACGGACGTGTTGTTTCGGGTGTGCTTACCAACACAGGCGCTCGATCTCATACAATATGCAGATCGGTCGAGCGACTAATCCGAATCTACGTATAATCCAAGTTGTCGCTGTCACCAACCGATACTGTTATAATGTATGGTATGTGTGTGTGTGTGTGATTATTGTAGTGACGAACGATTGTTTTTGTGTGAGCAAATTCCGCCTGCAAAAAATGTCACACTGTTCTTTATCGGGAAAATACACCATGGCTACAATCCCTCTGTATCGCCGGTGGCCCGTGTAGTAGTGTGTATACGAAATAATTAGAAGAAAAGTTTATTTTGTTCACTGTTTGTCGACGGGTGTTTTCAAGCCTACTGATTGGGAATGTATAGTATTATTATGTATCAATGGATTTGCATAATTTCTTTTGGTTTGTATAATCAAAATCACCAATTAATCTGTACATATAAATAAAACTGAAATGTCTGTATGTAATGTCAAAATAACTGCCTTATATTCAGCTGAGGGGGTTGTTTGCATGCCATTAAGACATGAATAGCATTTTTTTTTTAATTCTGTCTGTCTGATAATATATAATACATATAATATACATAAACTGTCACGACTGTCACCCAGAGGGGTAGGCAGAGACTACAGACTTCCATTTGCCACGATCCTGACATGCATGTCGGTTAAGGGTACTCCTAATTTGGCCCATTTTCAATATATCGCCAACTTGGTCGATAAACTTTCGCCTAGGACGTCCCTTTCCGACTATATCTTTCACTTTTGCAACATAAATGTGTTTTGTCACTCTTTCCTCATTCATTCTATCAACATGACCAAACCAACTTCACGAACAAATCGAGACCAATGTCAGGAGTGATATAATTTATTTTTTATTCGCAACACTAGATTCTTTTTTTTTGGAAAAATACTAAATACTGTTTAAATAAATGGTCATTGATATTTTAAATCTAAATAACGCCACATTAATAAATCCTATCCACACGACGCCAGTGTGGATCGCTAGTTTTTTTTTAAATAGAAGTTGTAATAAATTGATTTCTTACTATTAAAGGTAAACTGGGAACCGCTGTTATAAAGATAGCTCAAATATGTTACCTGTTGATTGGGACCACAGCAAGTTGCGTTATGACACAAGTCATTCGGCGGACAATGCAACGCGCAAGGCGCATCTGCTGACGTCCCGCTTGCTACCTGCAAAATATATTAATGCCACTGTCATTTCTTTGCTTCCAGACGAATAGAGCAGTCTTTCCCGTCATCTTTGGTAAGAGGGTTTCCGGCAATATGGATAAAAGACATTTATTTCGAAAAAGAACTGACAGGGTTCGCTCGAATAAGATAAACGATGTACAATACGTGGAGATATAAACGTGGTGAGAGTTATACTGCAGCTATATAATAGTTCTGGTAAAGGCCACGCTCTGACAGAATACCATCGTAAAATACAAAATGCTATGTTTTTTTTTATAGGATAGGGTGACAAACGAGCACACAGTCCACCTGATGGTAAGTGGTTGCTGTGGCCCATAGACATCTACATCTATCTTCGATTACAAATCAAAATGCAGATGCGTTGTCACCCTTAAAGACTAGGATGGAATGCCTCGTTTCCAGTAAAAAGGGTCTCCGGTTCTCTACACCAACCATACGAAATACAGCAGCATTAAGCTACTATTTCACGTTGGTATTCTGTGAGAGCGTGGTCCTTCCCCGGTCGAGCCGACCCATTCGTGCTACAACTATACTACTAATATAACTGCAGCATGGCTCTACCACGTAAATACCTTTTGTATAGTGGGTGTAGAAAGAACGAGAAGAAACGAGGCTTTTTATCTTAGTCTTCAGGTATGACAACGCATCTGCACTTAGATTCTTATTCGACGATAATATCTCTATGAGCCGCAGCATCCACTTAGCTGGATAGCTAGGATAGCTGGACTGTGTGAGCACACACCGTAACCGTTTGTAACCGTTATTCTAAAAAAGAAACAAATATAATAGTGGTTAGTGACGATGTTTAAGGATAGTGTTAGTGATTTAAAATAATAAAGTTTGTATGATCTTGAAATAATAGTATCAACCTATAGGTTTGAATTAAAATCAATTATAATATACAAAATGGATTAAAAGTCTAACGGTCTATCAATATAGTCAGGGGTTTGGTGACAAGAGCGTTTAAAGAAAAGTCTTTGTCACGAATGAAATCCCTTCGCCTTGGCGCCAGTCTTCGTAAAATTTGACATTTGCTGTCAAATTCCATACTAAATCTCACGGGACTTCTTTATTTAATCATGTTCTGGTTTAAACTTGACATTTATCATAAACTACTTTTTGTAAATTGGTGGTAAGGGTCTTACTTTAAATAATATGTGAATTTTATTTATGTAACGGATTTACTACGGTAATAAGTCAAAATGGTCTTTTGGTATTAAAGATTTTTTCTCCTTCAAAATTATATTTCTATTACCATATTGTGTGATCTGTTGTGATGTGTTATCTGTGATATATTTTATTTTAAGTTGAAGGCGGCACGGATTAATTTTGTCACTTTAAAAAAATAATTAAGCATGTTCTATAAGTGTATAATATAATTGATATTATGAGTTGTATTGAACTGTTGGATTGTCTTTTTTGGCTTGAATGGCTTTTACGATACAATCCCATAAAAAGAAAAAAAAATTGGACTCACTAGCGCCATGTTTACAACATAATTAATTATTTTTGCCTCAAAGTAAAGAGATCAAGGATTTCTATTAGCATATGGCTTATAGATCGAAGAAGTGTAGGAATATTTTGTATAATTAAACGCATTTCGTAGTTATAGAAAAATCAAAGAATTAATGTACCCAAATATTATGAAAATTTGGGACATTTCGTTTAATAACTTTTTACAATGTTAATGTTTTGAGTAACCTTTATGATATACTAATAAAGTACCAAACTACCGATTTAATGATGTATAGCATGTTAGTGTAGCAATTAGTTTTGTATAGAGAATATTGCAATTTATGCCATTTGTATAGTGAAAAGTTTATGCAATAAAGAGGCAAAACGGAAAATGGCAAGCGGCTCACTGTAAAGTATTGCTAAAGTCTACCTTAGGGGCTCGTGACCCAGTAGGAGTAGTAGTGTGAAGAACTACCAGTGACAAGTGAAGTGAAGTGAGTGGTATCCGGTGGTAGCTGAAGTGACTAGTAGCAGTATATAGTGAATAGTGATAGTGTTAGCTAGCCGAAAAAGGTCGTAACTGATATTCGCAGTTACATATAGTGAAAGTGTTAGCTAGCCGAAAAAGGTCGTAACTGATATTCGCAGTTACATATAGTGAAAGTGTTAGCTAGCCGAAAAAGGTCGTAACTGACATTCGCAGTTACATATAGTAAAAGTGTTAGCTAGCCGAAAAAGGTCGTAACTGATATCCGCAGTTACACAAGTGATAAAATCAGCTAGTTTAGTTGATAATAGCTGCTAGTCAGTAGTGTTAGAAAACCAGCTACTACCAATAGATATTTGATACCACCGTACAATTTAAAGAAATCTTTTGAAATATACAGTGACCAACCAATAGTGAACAACCGTAGTTCAGCAACCGTGGTCAATAGTTAAAATTTTGCGACTAATTAATCAGTCGAACCGCTGGCCGCTACCATGCTATTTGTATTTATTAATCGTGCATTTTGATTTGAACCTCAGTCCACAATATTTCAGCGGCAACCACAAAGACGGCAGTGAAAGTACTCACCGGAACCTATAGGTGTAGGACGTGAGCGACTCGCGAAGTATCTTCGACAACATTTACTCCGGAGAGTTTCGCCTGTCCGGCACAGTGGATATAACAAGAGTGTGGAGTGCCGATTCCTTATCTAGATATACGGACAGTACATGGATGTTGTCAATATACCTATATAGGTAGCGTTTAGTCAAATGTCATGTTTTATTCCCGAAAAAAATAACTAAAATGCAGCTATAAGCTACCACGCGTAGAAAACCTAATGATTCAAGTGTCATTTAACGTGGTGGAGTCATGCTGCAGTTATATTATGTTTTAGTAGTTGTAGCACGAATGGGCCTGCTCGTCCGGGGAAGGACCACGCTCTCACATAATACTAGCGTAAAATAGTAGCGAAATGCTGCTGTTTCGTATGGTGAGTGTAGAGAACCGGAGATCCTTTTTACTGGAAACGAGGCATTCCATCCTAGTCCTCACGGGTGACAACGCATCTGCATTTTGATTCGTAATCGAGGATAGATGTAGATGTCTACGGGCCACAGCAACCACTTATCATCAGGTTGACTGTGTGCTCGTTTGTCACCCTATCCTATAAAAAATCATACCCCGATACGTATAATGCAGAGGCTTATTTTATTTATATACGATTTTGTTCTCTATTCCCTTGTACGTAAGTACTAAGTAATTCGAATTATCTAAATGGCTAAGTTGCTTGAATCATACTGAATCTAGGTAGGCAGGTAATGTTCTTTATAATTAACTACAGACATACGTGACACTAAAATGCTATTAAAATATTTACAATGATAATATTTATCTTGACTTGTTCGCCTCCGTCATTCTAAGAACATTTTTTTTTCAAATTGCTCTTTCCTTTTTCTCCTATATATTTTTTCTTAGTATTTCCCATTACCACAAACAAATTATTTAAGTACCTACTTATACTAATAATAATTTCCTATTATAATAATAAACCTATTCTACAACTATAGCTATTTATAATAATAAAGATATATCTATAAGAATAGAGAGTACAAGCGAACGACTTGCGTAGGTCCTACGTTGTGGCGGCCTCTCGCCGGACTGGCCCGCGTGAGTATATAATTTCTATAAAACTTTAAAACGCCGTCATAAGGTCTAAAATTGCGTAGCGTCCGCGACGATTAACACGCTTAGAAATTGTCAGAATCTTAAAATATTTTTAAAAAATTAATGAAATAATGCGCAACTAAATAAATATTGACGTTACGAATACATTTGAGTGATTCCCAAACATATAGATTAAGTAATTTTGTTGTAATTTCAACTATAGTGATTTTTTAGAGGTGTTTTCGCAAATAATTATGATCGAGTCAAAATTATACAATCGTGTTTTTGAGCAAGCAAATTCAAGATAAAGACATGAATTTACTTATATCAAAATTTCAGTTTCGTTAGTCGTGTCATAGAACCATACTATTCGATGCAAGGAGGTGCATTTTATCAAGGTGTCTTAAAAATGTTTTGTTAAATAAGAAAACACATCAGATTTAATACGTTGCAACCTCCCTAAAGTGCACTGCCGAACATACAAAAATGAAGGACGGACGCAACATTTTAAAAAAAATATCCCGATTAAATTATTTTACAATTATTAAATGTGCGATTTTCTTAATTATTTTTTTAAATTCAATTGAAAATCCGAGTTGCGTAGTTGACCATTTCACTTTTAAATACACTCAAATTATTTATGCCAGTTGTACTTTACTATAGAACCTCCCAATTTTACTTGAAACCTTCGGTCACCCTGAAATGACGATGAGTTTTCCAGTAGGCTCTTTCTGGCAGACAGATCTCTGGCAAAGAAGACTTTGGTTACTTGGTTCCAGTTAGTTACTTCTTCAATATGAATTGATCGAGCTGTGAGTCTCGACCCATTTACTTAAAGTTCTATCTGATTAATTGCTTGTAATGTAAATGTTGCTGCTATAATAGTCTGAGGATATATATATATATATATATATATATATATATATATATATATATATATATATAAATATATATACAAATTCAAGACTTTTTTAAATTGAACTTTAAAATGTGTACAGCCCTTCACAAGTCCACTGCTGAACATAGGCCTCCCCCAAGGTACGCCACAAAGCACGGTCCTGAGCCACCTGCATCCATCGACTTCCTGCATGTCTTACCAGGTCGTCACTCCATCTAGTGGGGGGTCGCCCTACACTACGCCTACGGGTACGAGGCTGCCACTCCAGAACCTTTTTCCCCCAACGGTTGTCGGTTTTTCAAAGTATATGGCCGAGCCATTGCCACTTCATTTTACTAATCCGTTGTCAATGTCAGTCACTTTGGTTCTACTGCCGATATCCGCATTTCTAAGTATGAGGACGTAATTCTTCGGGCGATTTATAAGTCCTGGCTCCGCTGGGTCATTTTTTCAATACGAGCAGTATTAAAGTTGCGTAAGTCCCGCCGCATGCATTTGGAGATCTATCTGGTACCTATATTTTTTATATATTTACCTACTTGACCTGTTGTAGTGAATGTTATATGTGAGTGAATAAGTTTGCGAGTTATTTTGTAGATCAGTATACATGTTATATATGTAGTAAAAAGTTGCTAATTTTTTTTTTGTTAAACGTTTTTGATGGTGTTAAGAAGTGATAATTCTGCAAGATTTTAATCTTGTATAATATTTGTATTGGTTTTAAATTACTGCAGTATCATTTAAATTACTTTTAGCATCAGTATTTATCAATATAATGCTCTCAAATCCAATAACTACATTGTAATGGCACGGTATAATTTTGGGATAGTGAATTTAAATATGAAAAGGATTCAAATTACCGTCCGTCTGCCACTTGAATGCGCTTCCTTCCAATTGCTCATTTCAATTGTGAGAAAAGAATAGGTTTTTCAATCTACGTTCTTCGTTGTTATACATCGCATATCGGTTATATTATTGTTTATTTTTAAATTGATTTACTTTATTGAATATATGCCATGATCTTGATTAATTTTTTAAACTTACTGGCAACAAAATTAAAAAGAAAGAAGGCCTTAACTCCACAGTAGGAAATAATATTATTAAGGGGAAATATAATGTCAAATGGCTTAGCAAGATCCTTCGTTATGGCGAAAATATTGCAGCATTAATTTTGAAATAAATATATGGTAAAGTTGGGGATTAATGTTAATGTTTATGTTAGACGAAAACACGATTTCGTAAAATTTTCTCGATAGAAAAAAAATCCAAAGTTACCTCCAAAATAAACAATAAACCGCTATTGTTCATAAAATACTTTAAATAAGATCATGAAACTTTGCATACTAACTGAACGTAGTTAGTTCAGTAGTATGCAAAGTAGTTCAGTAGTAGTAGTAAAGCAGTGCTTATGTTATTTACTTTTTTTAAAATACCATTATTTTACTGAAAAAAGAAATTACCTAAACTATCGACGCGTAAGCTTGATTCCTGTCGCCCCGTTAGTATCGCTTAGGCTTTTGAAGGGAGAAGTTGTGTCGCTTACGATCAGAATACACATTACGCAACAGTACGACGTAAAATTAAAATGGGAAATAACCGTTATAAAAATAAGAAGCGACTGGGTTGGCGTTAAGAAACAGGCATAAATATGATAAACCTAATGAAATAAGTGTCTAACGACCTTTCTACTTACAGTATTAGTGATTACAAACATGTCGGTACATAGCATACGACGCGCGGGGAAGTGGGGGCGAAATTAGAATTTAAGCTGACTTACTCTATCCTCTTAAATTGAAGAAATTAACGTTTCACTTTATTGAATATATGCCATGATCTTGATTAATTTTTTAAACTTACTGGCAACAAAATTAAAAAGAAAGAAGGCCTTAACTCCACAGTAGGAAATAATATTATTAAGTATATTTATATAAGTTTTATCATATAAAAAAATAAGGCTCCATAATATCATCCCGTAGGTGTCGTAAGATGCGACAGAGGTAAACCAAACAGTAGATAGTTAGCAGCATCACCCCTATAACATCTAGAATATAAAAAGAGCTATGGTTACCAACCCGCCTGCCAAGTGTGACAAGTATGGCAAATATCCCCCCCCCCCCCCATATAGCAATAGATAGGCCTATAGTCAGACAGTACACATTAATGAGCTTTAATTATCTTATACTTAAAAAAAAACATATTCCCTAAACGCATCCCTAAATAACCAGGCTTGGTTTTCCATTTACTTCGCTCTCTTATTTGAAGGACATTAAAATATATATCATGTGTTGACTGGTAGAAAATGCCTCAAGGCAATAGATCCGCCCTTTTTTTATTATTGTGTTATAGGGAAGGCAATGAAGAATATATAAATATATGTCAATTACCTCATTGCCGTCTGTAGGAAGCTCGATAAACTCGGGCTGTATGGTCGTGGAGTGAATGCCTTCGTTGTGGAAGAACTCCTTCACCTTTTCTGCAATTTTCATGTATTCTGACAGGTTTCTACATCTGCAGAGTAAAGGAAAACCTTTAAAGCATTTTTGTTTCAAAGAAACAAATTGATGCTGTTTACAAAAAGACAAGGTAAATGGTTCATGTTAAAATAACAAAATGTAATATTTATAAACACCGAAAATTCAATTTAGTAACTTAGCAATTATATCATAACAAATTTCATCATTATCATTACAGCCCTTCACAAGTTCACTGCTGAACATAGGATTCCCCCAAGGTATGCCACAAGGCACGGTCCTGAGCCACCTGCATCCATCGACTTCCTGCACGTCTTACCAGGTCGTCACTCCATCTAGTGGGGGTCACCCTACACTTCACCTACCGGTACGAGGCTGCCACTCGAGAACCTTTTTTCCCCAACGGTTGTCGGTTCTTCGAGCTATATGGCCGGCCATTTGCCACTTCAGCTTACTAATCCGTTGGGCTATTACTGACAGTTTGGTTCTACTGCGGATATCCTCATTTCTAAGTTTATCACGCAGAGAAACTCCGAGCATAGCCCTCTCCATAGCTCGTTGACCGACTTTGAGCGTCCTCATACGGCCAGCAGTGAAGGACCACGTCTCGATTCCATAGGTCATCACTGGCAACACGCACTGGTTGTACAATTTAGTTTTCAGGTTTTGAGATATACCTAACGAGAAGATGTGTCGTAATTTCCCGAACGCTGCCCAGCCGAGTTGAATCCGTCGATTGACCTCTCGGTCGAAGTTGGACTTACCTAGTCGGACTATTTGTCCCAGGTGCTCAGGTGCTTAGCGCTCCCAACCACTACGGGGATAGGTGTGACATGGATATTAAACATGATCTTTGTTTTGTCCATGTTCATCTTAATACCTATCCGTTGGGAGGCACTATTGAGGTCATTGAGCATAGTGCTGAAGTCCTCCAGCGATTCTGCCATAAGGACTATAAACAAAACAAATTTCAATATTTGGAAATTCAGATTAACACACATCGGCTTCTTTACACTGCGTGTGTCTTAAGCTTTGACTTTCTAGTTATTTTGTGGGAACTTTTTTTATAGGATAAGGGTGACAAACGAGCAAACAGTCCATGATTTTAAGTGGTTACCGTGGTTCATAGACATCTACATCTATCCTTGATTACGAATCAAAATTCAGATGCGTTGTCACCCGTGAGGACTAAGATGGAATGCCTCGTTGGCAGTAAAAAGGGCCTCCGGTTCTCTACACTCACCATACGAAACACAGCAGCGTTAAGCTGCTATTTTACATTGTTATTCCGTAAGAACATGGTCCCACCCCGGTCGAGCCGACCTATTCTTGCTACAACTATACCAGTAATATAGTTGCAGCATGACTCTAGCACGTATATACCTAGTTTCTGGAGTATTGTATTAATACACAAAACAATGCCTCGATATGTACGGATGTATCCGTAGTTTGTTATATTAATTTCTTGTCTAACTAATAAATGACAACTCATATTACAGAAAGAAACAGTAACCCTTGCATTTTCCTAACGAATTAATTTCCCCGTTATGAAATCTGTCAAATATTTCACCTCATTCCAAAGCATTGCCGACTTGGTGGCAGAAAAAGCCGTGGAGTCGTTGGTAATTATTATTAATTCACTTTTTTTAAATTGTATAATTTAAAATAAGGCAAGTATTATCTCAACGAGCAGACTACAAAGGCAAATAAATAACCTCTGAACCTTTGATGCTTTATCTTTTTTAAATTAAAAATTATTTTCTATTAAATAATACAATCTTTGAAAATGTAAAATAATAAAAAAAACCTCAAACCCCCCCCCCCCCCACCCCCACCCCCCCCCCCCCCCCCCCCCGCCCCCCCCCCCAAAAAAAACCCCCCCCCAAAAAAACCCAAAAAAAAAATATTATTTAAAAAGGTCATTATATGTTAAGAATCCCTAAATATTAGGTTATAAATAATAAATAATAATAAAGGAGGCCTTTGCCTTTTGTTATTTGGAGAACTCAGTATCCTTCGACGTGCAGCTGCGCGCACGTCATGTTTTAAAGCAGGGATGTTATGGAGCTCCGTAACCGTATCCGAAACTATCGGATATCCGAAATAAAAAACTATTCGTAACCGTAACCGAATCCGATATAAAAGTTTCGGATAATTTCGGATAAGGGTAGGGGCTGAGTCTAAATGAGACTTGTTATAACAGGTTTCTTTTTTACATTAGCGGCGCGTGTCTCTTACTCTTGCATTGTTTGTTTATTATTTATGTTGCAGTCATACATAAGTCCCGTCAGTCAGTTTTATATTTAGGTACGAGTAATTAGTTTAGTTCGACGAAGTGAAAGAAAAGTGTTGTGTTATTAAATTGTTTACCTAATCTGGACCAAATGCGACCTAAGTCTAGTTTAATTTGGAGATTTTTTAATCAAGTTAATGCAGATTCCGCAAAATGTAAACAGTGTGATAAAACCTTTTCACGAAAAGGAGGTGGCACTACTTCGCTTAAACTTCATCTTAAATCAAAACACGGTGATAAGTACGAAGAACTTTTGTTACTAGAAAAAAGATATCCAACAAATACCACATACCACGAAACAGCTGACACCATTACAAGAGTGTAAAAAACAGCTGTCAATAACAGATTCTTTAAAAAATAAAGGCGCCTGGGATGAAAGTAATGTCAAGCAAAAAGAAATTGATAAATTAGTAGCTGAAATGATTGCATTACAAAACTTGTCATTTAACTTTGTGGAAGGTGTCGGCTTCCAAAGATTAATGCAGGCAGCATTACCACGCTATCATCTAAGAGGTCGGCAGTATTTTACTAATTTGCTGTGTACTGATATATACAATAAAATTAAATTAAAGGTGCTGGGATTACTTAAGCAATTTGAAAAGTTGTCATTTACTACAGATGTGTGGTCAGAGCCCAGCTCAAATGTATCGTTACTTAGTCTTACTGCTCATGGCATCACCAATAAATATGAAAGAGTTTCTATAATACTCAAGTGTGAACAATTAGAGGGTCGGCACACAGGTGAAATTATAGCAAATAATTTAAACAATATTTTGAAAGATTGGGGCTTAAGCACGGAATCAGTTCATTGTATTTTACGCGACAGAGGATCTAATATGATAAAAGCTATGAATATGGCCAATTTCACTGATGCAAACTGTACTATTCATCAACTACAATTATGTGTGCGATCAACGATGGAAATCGAAGAATTTCTCTCGTCAGTAATTACGAAGTGCAAGAAAATTGCAACTCACTTCAATCACTCCCTAATCGCGCAAAATGAATTGAAACAAATTCAAACAGAAAGACTGAACCAATCAGGACTAAGTATAATTCAGGAATGTTCCACACGGTGAGATTTTTTTATTCTATTTTATACACCTATCTATTATGTAATTTTTTTTTATTTGATTTGACATTGTTTTTTCTTTTTCACAGATGGAACGCGACGTATTATATGATGAAAAGAATATTGACATTAAAAGACTCCTTAGTACTGTATTCGGGCGCGCATGATATACCAATTCTTAATGCTGATGAATGGCTCGACTTGAAAAAGTGTGTTGCAATACTAAAGCCGTTCGAAGAAATTACAAAGGAGTTAAGTAGTGCTACTGCAACAATAGCATCAGTGATTCCATTAATATATACTCTTAAAAACACACTAGAAACAGAGAAGAGTAAAGAAGAGACTTCTGAGAACTTCAAATTAATGATTACGAAAATGATCCAAGACATCAATGTCAGATTTCAGGATATTGAAAATAATAAAATATATACAATAGCTACTTATCTAGATCCACGGTTTAAACTCAAGTTTTTTACTGAAATTACGAAGGAACAGGTACAGTCTGAGATTCTGGGGATTCTTGGGTGTTCAAAAGCTTCTCGTGATGAAGGTCCTTCTTCACCTAAGAGATCACGGAATGAGATTCCGACAACAAGCTCAAGCAACTATTCACACATTCAATCTTGTCTAGCTGAAATATTAAGCTTAAGTGACGAGGAAGAGCAAAACATAGATTGTGGTGATGATGTGCACAATCAATTTATTGTTAAAAAGACATTACTAAATGAATACAACAGGGAGAAACGATTGACACTCAATGAAGATCCACTTTTATGGTGGAAAATGCATACCAAGTACCATTGCTTAAGTGATTTAGTAAGACAGTACCTTTCTCCACCTCCTGGAAGTGTACCAAGTGAGCAGCTTTTCAGTGCAGCTGGGTTAATTTATGACCCCTTAAGAAATCGACTTTCTGGTGATAAGGCTGCGAAATTGCTTTTTTGTTAAGTATAATTTACCTTTGCTTAGTTTCGACTATTAAAAGAAATCATTAAGTGAAAGACAAGTAAATATTTTGTTATGTTATGTTCAGATTTTAGTTTTTATTCTTCAATATGCAAAGACTTAAGAAGACTGATTTATGCGTTGTAATAGTTCCTAGAAATATATTGAAGAATATAATAGAAAAAAAAACTAATAGCATTGTTTTTGATTATAATAATTTTGTAATAGCATTTTTAAGTAGATAACTTAAAAATATGTAGGTAGCTACATTAATTAGTATACTATTCTTATAAAATTGTTAATTACTTGAATAAATGACTGATTGTAATACCAAATGATAACCAAGATATAAAGCCAAATGATTACCTACTTATTTGTATTTTACTTAAATACCTCAAAAATCTTATCCGATCCGAAACTAACGGATAATCCGAAATAATTTTATATCCGTAACCGAAACCGAAACCGATATAATATTATTCCCATATCCGTATCCGTATCCATATCCGAAATATCATATCCGTAACATCCCTGTTTTAAAGCCCTAAATATATCTCTTTAACAAAGGCATGTTATGATTCAGTGTTATTTCAACAATCGTCTGCTAAGCAGACTCTGCTTGTATCTGATGATACATACACTGTGACCTGTTTGTGAAAGCGGGACTTTCGTATTTAATTATAATAAAGTGCATTGTGGTATTTAAAAATGGTATACCTATATAAAA